GTACTCCAGGAGCGGTCTGACGTGGGCCCCATAGAGTATTTGGAAGTCCATGCGAGTAATACGGGAGAAGGTACGTCGGATCATCCTTAAAAGGGCGAATGCCTTTTGGGCCGATTTCTCATGGTGTGGTGAGGTGTAGTGAGTTTGAGGAGACCCAGATGCTCAAATCTTTTTTGGCATTAATCCTCATGATGCTTTCTGGTCCCTTTTCACCATGCATAAAAAAGGCATTCGCTGAGTCTCCTCCAAATGACATATGGATGCACTTTTCGTCATTCAGAGGAACGTGCCAGTCCAACGACCACTGCTTGGCAGAGGGGGGCTCGAACAGCGGACCTTTCGATCCTCATAGGTTACAAAAATGAAAATTCGAAAAGTCGTGGTAATAGTGATATTCGGCCCTAGGATTTCTACTGCTACCCACTTCGCCTGAAGCATTTCATTGGGTGAGCAACAATTGACCTTGAACTGGGTAGTAATTAGAGCTAGTTACCGACGCACACCTACCCGCCTGAGATTGTTGGCGGCAGCTCAGCCGCCCAAAAGGAGCCGCGGAATAGAAGCTCAATGTCTTTGATGAGAGGAATTTTTTCGAAGGCTTTATAGCATTGACGAGAGAGAGTTATCGTCTCTCCTAATCGGGTACAGTCAGGGGGGAAATGTGATGTGATTTGGCATGGCGATGAAGCCCAATATTCGCACAATAAATTCAATTTTCGAAGGCTAAGACGTGTCCCCGATGGACTAAAAGAGACAGGCAGTTGATTTCACGGTACGTCTCCAAACTTTTCAGGACCATCTTGGCCACCGGGGTTCGCAGCAATGCCAAACATTTTTGCCAGGGGAATGATTTCTTGAATGGAAAATGAAATTAAGTGGCCTGCGAAAATATGACCTTAGACCTGGATGACTTTTGGCGTAGGCGCAAGCGCGCCGAAATGCGACATTTAGTCCCGAAAGTTTCATTCCCGTCGCAAATCTTTTGCAGCTTAAAGCATTGTGCTGCCAGTGGGCCTCCACAGCAATAACCTAGCGAGATTTCTAAGAAGGATTGCTCGACGCCGTGTGACATATCAAAAAGGATGATCCAAGAGGACGAAAGAATTCGGAAATGTCCTCAGAATAGTAGACGCAGAGCAAACCATGAGGCCTAAACAGCTGTTCTGAGAATGTGCCTCACTGACAGCTGCAACTATGTACAAATTAATTAAATGATTAATTAATTACGTGGATTAAATTAGGGAAAATTATTTCACACCTAAGCATGAAGTACTCAGTTTGCGAGGGTACAGCCGAAGCTCCATGCCGAATGAATAAATTATAATGTCATGGATGGAATTGCAATGTACTTGCCCTGTGAGTATAAATGCCCGGTGGGGTTCAGGCGGGGTTGCAGTGTCAGTAACCCGTTGTCACATTTATTTACCGTCTTTCCGGAGCTTAAACACATTGTGTAACTATTGTACATATTTTATCGCGACGATTTTTTATTGCACCAATAATTATATCAAAAAAATGGTACCAACACAC